GAAAACAATGTTAAAAGTATCGTAAAATGTAAGTAGGACACTGTTGATAATCGAGAGGATTATGGTAAAGTATCCTACAATGAAGATGGAACTTCAGAAGATCGCGGTAAAAAAAGTATCCTCAAATAGAGATGGCACTTGAGAAGATTATGGTAAAAGTATCCTAAAATGGAGGTGGCACTTGAGAAGATTATGGTAAAAGTTTCCTCAAATAGAGATGGGACTTGAGAAGATTATGGTAAAAGTTTCCTCAAATAGAGATGGCACTTGAGAAGATGATGGTAAAAGTTTCCTCAAATAGAGATGGCACTTGAGAAGATTATGGTAAAAGTTTCCTCAAATAGAGATGGGACTTGAGATAGATTATGGTAAAAGTATCTTAAAATGGAGGTGGATTTCAGTTGGTACTCGAGAAGATTATATAGAAGTCCTCCAGAATGGAGATGAAACTCTTTTGTAACTTAACTAAGAACCCGTTAGTGTGTTCCAGGATGAGAAGATTCAAAAGCAAGCCTGTAGTCATGATTCTCTCACTGGAAAAGCCGAACTTAATGACTGGAGTAAAGGGAAATACACCTAATTCAAGGCCCAACATAATTTCTTTGAAGTTGATTTCGTTAAAACTGTGCTTGTTTTGTAATAATATAAATGAACAGTAAATTAAAGTGAGTATATTTAAAAGTTATGCATTTAAACCACAAGGCAATTTAATATTCTTATAAAAATAGTGTTAGTACGTTAGTTTATACTAATAGAATTATCAAAATATTGTTATTTGTAACTGGATTAAACACACACATACATATATATATATATACACACACAATAAAACAATAATAATGGTATAGCTTATCTTATAGAGTATAGAGTAATATAACTTTGTAAGTAAGGCCCAATGTGCCTAACTTGTTTCTTTTCTTTTTTTTGAGAGCCTAAAGCGATTTTGGAGATGTCAGAATTTTGGTTTTCAATACCTCTTGCGAACTGATATTTGCTTGTCTCTTCCTAGAATCCACAACTGGCCTCCCCAGCTAGGGTATAACCAAGTTGCTCAAGTCCTGAAAACAGCTTTTAACACCTGGAGTGAACCTGCTTCCCCTTTACGGTTTGAAGAAGTCAGAAATGGAGAAGCTGATATTGAAATAACATTCGCTTCTGCTGACCATGGAGACGGGTATCCGTTTGATGGACAAGGTCGTGTTTTAGCTCACGCGTTTTTTCCCTATGATTTCGATTCCTTGGGTGGGGATATTCATTTTGATACAGATGAATATTGGATAGATGGATCTAGAGGAAAACAAAACTATGGTAAGCAAAGAACTGAATTTTCAGTCGTACCTCTTGCCATATGTCAGTGTAACTCTAAAAAATATATGTATATATGGAAATAATTAAGTCATTCCTACCCACAAAGAATCTGTCTTTCTCGTGTAACTTTAAGATATCAAATAATGAAGTTTGGATTACAACTTCTACACAACATAATTCTAAATAATGGTCTGAGGCCACCAAGGATTTCATATTTATTTACTTTTCGTTATTATTTACACTGAACAGCTCTTCCAAATATAACTTAGGAAATGAAAGTATTATTTACACATCAGGATTTTTGCACTACGCTTTTTTTTGGGGGGGGGGGATACGAGTGTTTGACCAAAAATATGATAAAATCCAACTTTAAGAGCGTGTCTCTATTTGTTAGGTATAGACTTATTCAGCGCAGCTGTACATGAGATTGGACATAGTCTCGGACTTGGTCATTCGGCGGTTGAAAAGTCAGTGATGTTCCCTTACTACCAACGTCACAAGCCAGGCTTCAGCTTGTATTATGACGATTTGCTGGCCATGTATGAACTGTACAGTAAGTACACAAATGTCAATTAATCAATAGAGACAAAAAAACTGACATCTATATTTACAAATGAGAGAATACGTGAAATTAACATTTTTGTAAAAAATCTGATTAAATGTTTTCTTCTTCCTATCACAATAAAGTTGTGAGGGGCAGTTTCGAAGATGATCAATATGATAAGACCAGTAACGGCGGAAGTACCACAGATACTCCCGTGCTCCCCCCTAAGAAAGACGACTCAGGAAATATTTGTAATGGCTATTTTGATGCAGTAGGTCTCTTGAAAGATGACATCGTTATTTTCAAAGGCTTGGTAAGTATTCCATTCTGTGATATTAGTGTTTCTTAATTAAATGTGAATGTTTAAACACAAGCATCACTGATCACCAACAGTAATGGAGAAGTAAAATGAATATAATATTGTTACGCCTCCAGTCGTTAGTTAATTTTCCGTAAATTCTTTCCGACTAAACTTTAGCGACACAAGTCCTTTCTTAAATAAAATTGGTTTATTCTTTCCGAATAC